TTTAAAAGGTAAAAGTTTGACAAACAGTCCTCAATAATGACACTCTCTTCTCTTCAGTCATTCCTGTGCTCATGGCTAGCCATTTGGAGTCATTCAACCTTTTGCTGTCTTTCTCTGTTGCACAGATGGAACTGGACAGATCTGCTGACCCACCTCCAGCAATCTGGGTCTCCACCACCAAGTCATCCGTTAATAAATGGGTAAGCATGCGTGACACTTCTGAGACCACTGGTGGGCTGTCAACAAAATGACCGTGGAATACAATGTAGAGACTTGTGCAGGTGGCTACGCCTAATGCTATTAAGCAGTAATCCTCCTGTAATTTGCCTAAAAAAATAATTGTGGTCATGGGGGAAATACACAAAAGATAATTGCATTACATTAATCACAGCTATTGCTGTAAGGGAGAGATTATTAAAATCCGGGATAATTTGTAATGGTTCTTCTTTTCTGTGTGTATGTGTACAGTCTCTAAAGGGAATGCACAACTTTAGATCATCAGGGGAGTATGACAATGACTGCACTACACCTCTGACACCACTGTGCACTCAGCCAGAACAAGTCATCAAGGGTAAACATGTTTATCTAAAACTACAGATTCTTCTATATCCTTCTCTCTGACATTGTGTGAAATAACATTTTGTGTTGTTTGCAGGAGGTGCCAGTATCATCCAGTGCCACATTCTGAATGACAAGAGACACATACTCACCAAAGATACCAACAACAATGTGGCTTTTTGGGACGTCCTGAAGGTAAACTCCACGTTGTAGTTAAGTTATTTAAGTATGAGAGTGTGATTGCATTTGCCATTCTTTCGTCCATGCCATAGTGAATGTGATGGTTCAAATTATGGCCAAATGACATCACAGTGCAGAGAAGGGGGTGGTTATGGTTATTTTGATGCTCACTGGCCCTAATGAGCTACTAACTCCAGGTCACTCCAGAGTTAAAGAAAACCTCTCCTGATGAACTTACTCCTGGTGATACCTGTGATTTATATTGACTTTATGTGTGTTTTCCCTTCAGGCTTGCAAGGGAGAAGACTTGGGAAAAGTGGAGTTTGATGAAGAGATTAAAAAGCGCTTCAAGATGGTCTATGTGCCAAATTGGTTCTCTGTTGATCTGAAAACTGGGGTGAGTCACAAACCTGGTAATAAGGGTTGCAATAGTAGTAAGATTTTCAGTTATTTTTGGTTGAACGCCTATAATTATAATTTTATAAAATATTACAGATATTTTTTAAGACCAATAATATGATAGAAAGTATTTTTTTATACAGTGGTTATTCAATACTATAGATGAGCAAATGTACACAGTATGATCGTATCGGTATACTGCTGCAACGCTACAATACAAGAGCTTTGCTGAGCTTGTCTTTCCTGAGCCTGGTCAGTAGTCTCATAGGTCTGCCTCTTTTTCAATAGATGCTCACTATCACATTGGATGAGAGTGACTGCTTCGCTGCCTGGGTGTCTGCAAAGGACGCTGGGTTTTCAAGCTCTGATGGATCTGACCCAAAGTGTAAGAAAGCTGACCTATTCACATTTATATACAAATAACTGTTAAATAACGCAAAACTAAAGCTACCTTTGTATTGCACAACTGCTTACTCTTTACTTTTGCTTACTTTTTTCCCAGTGAACCTGGGTGGACTCCTGCTCCAGGCGCTGCTGGAGTTCTGGCCCAGAACCCGCATCAACCCGATGGACGAGGAAGAGAACGAGGCGAACCACGGTAAGGAGGTGCTGGACAGTCCGTCCGCTGCCAAATCATTATGAAACTAAAATAACTAAAGTTCGGCAGTGATGCATCGGGACCCTCAGTGTGTGTATTCATTCCACACAACGTGCTGTTGTGAGCGGCCGGTGCCTCAAGCGTCATTCAGTCTGTCTTACAGTAGAATCGTGTTCTTGTGCCCACAGTGAACGGAGAGCAGGAGAACAGGGTCCAGAAAGGAAATGGATACTTCCAAGTGCCACCACACACGCCAGTCATCTTCGGGGAAGCAGGAGGCAGAACTCTATTTAGGTAATGTTTCACTAACATCCCTATTAACGCTGGTTCAAGTACATTGAGAAAGCTGGCTTTGTAACGATGTCAGATTATGATTGTCCTAAACAGAAATGGTAAGTCCATTTATTGCACTTCTGATGTTGTTGTTGTGTGTTGCAGGTTGCTATGTAGAGATTCAGGTGGAGAGACTGAGTCCATGCTGCTGAATGAGACCGTTCCACAGTGGGTTATTGATATAACTGTAGATGTGAGTACAGTTATGTTTTCACCTTTACATTAAATCAAATATGACAAAGTCAAAGTGATTAAAATTCAGAAGCTCATGTGAGTGTTTGTATTTACGCGTGCTACCTTTGTACATATGCATATCGGTGTGTGTGTTTATCTAAAGCTCTATTTTTTGGGGGCTTTTATTGCCTTTGATAGTGACAGCTGAAGACAGACAGGAAAGGGGGGTAGAGAGAGTGGGGATGACACGCACAGCAAAGGGGCCGACAGTCGGATTTCGAACCCTGCGCGCTGCAGCAAGGACTCAGCTCAGTAAAAGGGGGAACGCCAGCT